ATCTATATTGCTTATCAATTTGAGCCAGATTGAGACGCAGAGGATATTATTGAAGAGGATCGCGCAGAACCTGTGCAAGCACGGCTTTTAATGGTAGGCCTAAGATTTTTGTTTGTTGTCTCATACTTTTAGATACGCTGTTATTTGTAAATGATACTGCTTCTGTTAGCTTTTAATATACGGTTTTATTCTGATTAAAGCTTTAGTACAGTTTGGCAACTGCACGCACGTACATGTATAACGCTTCTCATAGCTATAGCATGTGAAAATAAGTGTATTCACTGAGCTGATAATCTGAATGAGAGAGAGAGAGATGCAGAGCATGTGCACAGCAGGGCGAGGCCAGGAACAGGATGAGAACGCTGCTTTAGAACAGTTTGAAACTTGTGAATCCATTAGAATCGTTAGAAGACAGAATCGCAATTCATATATGAATAGATTTTTACGTGCACCCCTAGTTTTCTCTTCCTCTTCTCTAAAGCAGCGCAGCATGGCCTCGCCCCCTTTGCTGCGTTTTCCCAGAGGCGGGTTTATGTAAAATTCTGGGTTCTTGACGTAACGGACCCGGGAAGTAACTCGTTGTAGTCCCTTACCAGTCGTTTTTGTAGACATTAAACTGCCAGAATTTTAAAAGACGATATCTCCGTTTGCATTGAACTTTGAGCTTCGTAACTTTGCAGATATTGTTTATGATCAAACAGCAACATTACATTACACACTAACTAACATTAAAAAAGTGAAATCGCAATCAACCACCCCTTTAAGTATTTGCTGTCAATTTTGATCAATTTATTGCATTCTTGCTGAATAAAAGTATTAAAGTAATTAATAAAAAGTATTAAAGTGCCCCTGGGTAATGAAAGGTTCATATTTTGGACAACAGGTTGACATGCATGCAAGGTCAAAAACACTTTAATTGTCTTATAATATGCACATTTATTTTTACCTTACTTGCTCAACGATTAATTTTTCCAAACCCCTCCTTTGTGTGACGCTAATCTGCGGGGATTGATCAGATTGGTCTCATTTTCATTTCATCTTGCCTGTAATGCCTGATAAAGAAGCGTTTATGATGCTTTGTGTACAGCATTACCGGGGAAACAGCTATTTTACCGCTCCAAAAGCGGCACCTAGTGGCAAAGAATGAATTTGCATTTTCATTCAGACCAACCAAAAAGACCAACAAGTGGAGGCAATATGCTAATGTTTCATGTTGATGACTTGTTTCAATGATTCAGAGTCGACTCTTTCTTTTGAGAGACAATAACTTTATACTGTACACGGGTGCACTTTCAGATTTAAAACTTTGCAGGATGTTTTCATCCACTTAGAGCTGTGTTACACACTGCATGAAAGGTAACTTTCAAAAATCCATAATAGGGGCACTTTTATTTCTTTAAACAAACAAACAAAAACATTGCATGTACATTGCACTCCAGATATTCAGTTACATTCACTCGTGAGTCATTGAATTTTAATAGCTAATTTTTATCATGAGAATTATAAGAGTAATTGAGTTTCTTAACTGTTACACATATGGCCTTTGAGCAATGGGCGGGCCCCACCTGTTGTTTCCAACTATGTAAGTTTGGTATCCGCACATGTAGGCCTCGGGCACAGGACATGTGCTTTTGGATGTACATCGGATCTGAAGCTCTGAGGCTTCACAAAGAACCAGAGTTGAGGCTTTAATCCCAGTCAGCGGAGGAAAGTAACCAGCCTGCTCTAATCCAGAGTCATCTGTTTTACTGACAATGGCAGTACCTTGTGAAGTGTCTAATATGTAGGTAGTGAACACACATCTGGATCGCTTCCTAACATGCGTGTCAGTCTGCGCTGTTGAGAAAAGCCTGTCAGATAATCTCATTTGATGCACGTTATACTCGTTGGAGGTGTGAGAAAAGTGCTTAATTTATCTGTGCCAGAGAAAGTCGGTTTAAAGTGGAGATTTGTTGTAACTAGCAGGAACTTGGCTAAATTGTCTAATTATTAGCTAGGTGTTTGAAGATAATATTTAGCATGTCAGTAATTAGTGGGAATTTGTGATGGCTAAACAAAAATAATTTTTGATTTAATCTCATGATTTCTAACCAGTGTTTAGAAACCAGAATGAAATGGTAAAATGTTGAGTTTTGTATTTTTTTAAAGATATTTTCAGATATTTTTTTTAATAATTTACTTTGTTTTAAGGTATTTGTGTTTTAATTTTATTTTTGAAAGCAGGCCTTCTAGCGCCCACTTGCCACCCACTGGAGGTCCCCAGAACTAGTTATCAAACCCCTGCACCACAGCAATGTTTTTTAATATGGCAATAATATTATAATAAGGTTTTACATGCTAAATTTTTTGTGTATGTGTGTCTCCAGGCAATAATAAAGAAGAGGAAGAGTCCATGATGCAGGAATGGTTTACATTGGTCAACAAGAAGAATGCTCTGATCCGCCGACAGAACCAGCTCTCTCTGCTGTGAGTTCATGTTTACCCTTTCTCTCTTTCTCCAGCCCTTACCAATGGAAGCGGTGGTCTCTGAGCACACACACCTATAATATGTTGAGACCCACACTTGAAATGATTTTCCCAGGAGACCTGAGCCCAGTCAGAAGGTCGGGCCCCTCATTCACTTCCACCCCTCCCCTGGTGGCCCTCCACCGTAAAGCGGACAAAACGGCATATCAGAACGGACGCGTCTGCAATAATGTGATTTCAAAGACTGTATTATTCCACCCATTATGAGAATTGGATCGACCAAAAAAAAAAAAAAAAAAAAAAAAAAATGGTCCCCAGACCTAGTTTAAAAAACCCTGCATCACATCAATGTTTTTTTAATATGATAAGAATGTTATAATAAAGTTTTACATGCTAAGGTTTTCTGTGTATGTGTGTCTTCAGGCAATAATAAGGAAGAGGAAGAATCCATGATGCAGGAATGGTTTACGCTTGTCAACAAGAAGAATGCTCTGATCCGCCGACAGAACCAGCTCTCTCTGCTGTGAGTTCATGTTTACCCTTTCTCTCTTTCTCCAGCCCTTACCAATGGAAGCGGTGGTCTCTGAGCACACACACCTATAATATGTTGAGACCCACACTTGAAATGATTTTCCCAGGAGACCTGAGCCCAGTCAGAAGGTCGGGCCCCTCATTCACTTCCACCCCTCCCCTGGTGGCCCTCCACCGTAAAGCGGACAAAACGGCATATCAGAACGGACGCGTCTGCAATAATGTGATTTCAAAGACTGTATTATTCCACCCATTATGAGAATTGGATCAACCAAAAAAAAAGAAGAATTGAAAAAATGACTTCATTCACCTAAAAGAGGAAGCCATTATGACAATAACCCACATATTTACCCTCTTTTTTAACTACTTTCGCAGTTATTTTTTGCCTCAAAAGATGATAATGTTCATTTTTTAAACCTTTCATCCTTTTCTTTAAAAGTGAGAGTGAGACGTACAGAAATCTGGGCGGCTGTTCATTCTGCATAAAGAGCGAGAGAGAGAGGAGAAGAAAGAGACAGAGTTTCAAAGCTCTCGCAAATGACAGATTGAAGTATTCTAATCACATTATATCACTGAAAAAGGGCTTTTTAAGTGCTCAATTAAAAGGGCCTTGATAATTTCTCTTTCTTTCATTTCTTTTTAGTCACCGAACAGGCTGTGAAGGACAAATTCTATTAGGGACAGAGTTAGCTCATTTCCAATACATTTGAAAGTGGCGAAATTTAATTTGCCGTGTGATACACCCCCCCCCATAAACCATCGTTTCACCGCTCTCTGCCCCCTCTGTTCCTGTTTGTGTATCGCTTATTTGCAGTAGATTAATGTGAGGTAGGGAAGGTGTTGGCGAGTTCACGAATCAATGTTTATTAAAGGTTTCTTTAAGTGTTTAATGATTTAGTAATTAACATATTGATGAACTTTTACAACTTGCCCAGGGAGAAGGAACACGATCTGGAGAGACGCTTTGAGCTGCTGAACCGAGAATTAAGGGCAATGCTGGCGATTGAAGGTAAGAGGGACTGAAAGAGGGATTTGGCGGTGAATTTGAGAGGTGCTCTGTGAAAGACAAAGATCCTCTCCTGCTTAATTAAACCTGCTCTTTGACACCTCAGACATGGCTCCACCCACCCATTCCTGATTTGATAGCACTGCCAATTCTTTTAGCTCCTTTTATTAATATAGATCTTACAAATTCACCCTTGGATTGGACACAATATATATGATTTACTCTCAAAACCGCAGGTATTACAGCCATAGTGCAGATGTCACTTCCACGTCAATATTAAATCTCTGTGATGTGCCTCGGGGACGTCAAAGAACGCACTCGCATTTATAAGCTTTTGGAGTGCGTGTTATACAGACTGGTAAGGAAAGTAAAAAAAATAAAGCCTATTGTGCGGTATCAAAGTTGTCTGGTTAAGTTTAATCCCTTTGACTGTGTCCTCTCTCGCAAAATGAACCTTTTACAATCAATGCAAATTGATTTTACAATTCGATGATGACCCTCTCACCCCTTGGCTAGCCATGGTAATTTCTTTCTGCACCTGATAAGCTAGCTGATCCATCATAAATCAATTCTAATTAGTTCGGAGAGGTTGACAGTGGACATGAATAGCCAAGCAGATAGCATAGATCCCCCGTATTGTGACGCTCCCTGAATTCGCCACACACTTTCTCACCTCCAGGGCTTCGCCGAGGCAGATCAACACGGTTCATCTCAATATTCTGACATGCTTCTGTCTTGTTTCTGAAAGATTTCTCCACGCTGAGAGCTGCCGTGATACTGAACGCTAAATGCTGAGCCCGATAGCTGGAATTTAAGCTAATAACGTTCAGATGTTGAAGTGCCTCAGCCTTGTGTCCACTTATCAGTGAACATGGAGTGAGTTCCAAATATTGGTCTGGATGTGCAAGGGTGACAGGGTCCATCCACGGCAGTGGTAATTCAGTCCCTGCTGCTTGTAACAACCCTATCAGTCCACACACTGCTACCTGTTGAATTATCACTCGCAGTTATTTTCTCTCTCTCTCACTTTATCTGCCTTGCTCCCTCTCTCTCTCTCTCTCTCTCTCTCTCTCTCTCTCTCTCTCTCTCTCTCTCCCCCCCCCCCCCCCCCACCCGCCCTTCAGAGTCAGGGTGTTTCTGAAGCGAGTCAGAGATAGTTCTGAGCTGCTGGTGAGGAGGTTCGTGCATCAGTTTCTTATTTGGAGCCCCGACAGGCTTTCGCGCCCAGCCAATGCAGACAGGTAATTGCTGATTTGCTTGGTCAGCTGATGACATTGGAAGTGTAGCGGCTGAGGCGTTCAGACAGGCACACACACACTCTTTCTTCTCTTTCTCTCTCTCTCTCTCTCTCTCTCTCTCTCTCTCTCTCTCTCTCTCTCTCTCTCTCTCTCTCTCTCTCTCCCCCATGAGGCACAGCACTTGGCATTCAGAGTCAGGGTGTTTCTGAAGCGAGTCAGAGATAGTTCTGAGCTGCTGGTGAGGAGGTTCGTGCATCAGTTTCTTATTTGGAGCCCCGACAGGCTTTCGCGCCCAGCCAATGCAGACAGGTAATTGCTGATTTGCTTGGTCAGCTGATGACATTGGAAGTGCAGCGGCTGAGGCGTTCAGACGGGCACACACACTTTCTCTCGTATCAGCGCACACTCTCTCGCTGATAGAGAAAAATACTCACTCTCCTCGACCCCACGGCTGTGCAGAGGAGAATCTACAGTCAATGTGACCTGGAGATGAGTAATATTGAAGCCTTGTATAGATGTCATGTTTGAGTAGCATTTAGAACATTTTACATGTCTTTTTTTTAACAAAATGTCAAGAACTATTTGACGTCTCCATTCTAAGTGTCCTCAATGTTTTGTTTTGTTTTGTTGACAGCAATTAAGGTGGCAAACAGGATGCAGAATTGAATTTCGCATTTACATTTGAATATAAAGTACAATTAAAATGAATTGGAATACATAAAACAAATTTTTAACTAGAAAGGCAAAGCTTATGAAGACAAACTTTGAATGTTAGTTCAGCAAAGCCTCGTTTCATTTATTTATTTTGACAGACAGACAGACAGACAGACAGACGGATAGATAGATAGATAGATAGATAGATAGATAGATAGATGTGTTCAGTTTTTTTAATTCAGTAAATTAATCTTCCCTTCATTCAAATTCAGATTCCATTTTTGCTTCCTGTGAGACGCCACACTTTTCAATTTTGAAAGGGAGCCAGTTAATCAAATCTGAATTAGCCCATTCCTGACTATCATGCCATATGTAACAACCTTTGTCAGTTGGATCAGTTTGCTCTTTTTTAAAATAAATATTAATACTGTAGATATCATTACTCACTGACTTAAATTCAGGTACACACTTGTTGCCTGTTGCATTACACACTATTAGATCTGAAGCCTGTGGACACCAGAAAGGGAAAGGAAATATTTCAGAAATTATAAAGGCAGGTTGAAAAGACGGGAAGGATTCGGTTAAAGGTGTAGAGCAAACAGGGTGAGTGTTAATGTCAGCTAAACGATAACCCCTTCAGTCTGCGCTCCGCTGTGGGGAGGCAAAGAAAAGTGGTGAGGCCTTCCACAATATGCCATGACTCCTATTTCTCTGCCTCTAAATTGATCCTTTTTGCCCTTTTTATCTGCCTGCCATGCACACACGCTTTCTCTCAAATTCGTCTTTTTTCCCCCTCCCCTCTCCCTATTTCTTTCTTTCCTCAAATGCGGTGCACTCCGGGGCGTTATATTTGAAAGTGGACGCTCCTTTTTGCCGAGGGATTTCTGCATAGGTCCCCCAGTTTTGTTGTTACGGTTTTATATGATAAGCTTTTTTATATGTTTAAAATCAATATGTAATCCTGTGCAAGGGCTTATCCCCCTACAACCCCATTTGTAAATCTATTTGAGCTTTGTTACATGTCTGGGCTGCCGTATTCCTCAGATTGATTGGGTGCAGTGTGAGAATCCTATCAAATGGCCGGCTTTGATGATGTTGCAAACTCTTTCAAGATTGCTAGTTGACTGGAACTGGAGATAAGGCGAGACAACACTTTCTCATTCTACACTATTCACTGAAATCTGTGTTCATTTCCATTTAGCCGTCACTTTCTGCATTTGACTCTCAGTGTCCACTTTTATATAACCGCACCTAATAGAGGTTTGTATTTGTGTAGTCGGCTGTGTTTCGTGCATTTAGAAATGACACCAGAATCTTTTCGCCTTTTTTTAATTATTTTTTTCAAACAATTTGGCTTTAATGTAAGTGATAATATTCTGTGGTAGGCATTAGTTAATATCACGGAAAATGTCCTGCAAAATTTTACTGAAATGATTTACAGGTTGTTTTTCCTCAGCATTTTAACCTTGTGTAGTTTTTTTATTTTTTTCATTTCTCAAAACCCAAATTAGTTACATCTCTCATATGCATGCACAAAAACAAGCTGCAGATTAGTGATTCAAATGTTTATTCAAAGACATTGTGTATTTGGTTTTGTCACTTTATTTGTATGTGATAAAGCAGATGGGAGATGTGGTTTGGGAATAGCGTGGTAAGAATCCTGGGACTGTTGTCCCGTCATCCTCCTTGTCATGGTTTTCCATGTTGGTCTTTGTCTCATTCCCAGCTGGCTTCTCTCCAGCTCCATCTTACGCCGGAGCTCCCAGCCTGCCCAGCACTCACCCAAATCTGCTGTAATAAGATCATGCATTTTTCCCTGGATTCCTCCAACACTACTTACTTTCTCTTATTTCCTCCGAAAAAAGTTTTAACCAAAAAAGCCCCTCCATTCGGTCCAAAAGTTTGCTTCATGTGTCCGTTCGCTAAAGCAAGTAGAGCGTGTGTGTGAAGTTTGTGTTTAGTGATCTTTCAGCAGAACTCTCAGAAGAAGCTCTGTGCCTCCTGAAGCTGCCGAGCAGGTTGCACTCTTGAATAAATTTTGCTGTGGAGGAGGGTCATGGGGATTTGAACCAGCGCATTCTTCTGTGGGTTGTGAGTGCTCACATGGTTACCACTGGTGTGCATTGTTAGGGTTATCTGAATAAGCACCAACCATGTGAGTTTTAACGTGATTGCCCAGGGCAATGAAGGAGAAGGAGGCAGCAGCTTCCGTTAGTGTTTTTTGGTGAGTCGCGATCGCTCGTTTACTCTGCCGTCTCCCTCTGCGTCCATATTCATTGTTTACCTTCTTAATGAGGGGGGCGGTGCTGCTCCCGCTTGATTGACAGCTGCATGCGGCCTCTGCCAGAGGTGCAGGGGAGGATCTGTGGCTTTTTGGCTGAGAATGCTGAAGGGGAACAGGAGGAGGAGGTAAAGAGTCGAGGGTTTTTTCTCTCTCTCTCTCTCTCTCTCTCTACCTCTTTGGGACATGCAGGAGAAGTTTTTGTTGGTTGTAGCCTTCCCTCCAGGCAGGTCTTTGTGAAGTAGGCATTGTCGTTTTTGACGGAGGGGTAGCAGAAATGACAGCGTGAATTAAAAAGGAGGGTCGTGAAAGACAGAGAACGTATGGAGAGCGATGCAGGATAAACAGTCCGGCCTGTAGGATGTTAAATGCAGTCAGCACTGTTGGGCGCACAGGAAACGACCGGCCCGTGTTGCATTGCTAACATAACAGAAAACTAAACTCCATATTTGTTTGTTTTTCACTAAATTGCTTTTTAAAGAACAACATCCCCCTTTTGCATTTTCCTTCCTGCAGCTTTTGTTCAAATTCGTTAAAGCTGAGACAAATCCTCTCAAATATTTAGCATTAGCCTCTCTGAAGCCTTATGTCAGAACACCAAAGACTTTAATTTAGCTGCTGGAGGCCAAATAACTTTCAAATATTGGAACTGTGTTCATTTTGCCACTGCGCTTCACTTCAAAGGCGCAGAGGTTAAACGAGAGCAAGGAGCAGGCCTTTTGGGACCAACGGCACTCTTGGGACCAACGGCGCTCTCAGCACCACACTGCAATTTCACTCAACCGCAGCAGAAATATTAATTTTTTTAATGAAGTACATTTATTTTAAGGATAGACTTTTCAGACGGTTGAATGTGCATTTGTCTCTTTTTTCGGTCTCTCTATAACAAGAGAATTTGATTTTTGTGTGCGTGTTTTTGGGAGTCTGTGTGCATGAGGGACCGCTAATAAAGCAGTGTAAAGACACTAGTACAGTCTGTTCTTACAGCGGGCTGAAGAATAGGCCCGGTAAGATAACTTCCCCTTGGCTGTGAGCAGGGCCCTAATCTGCACTGGTATCAGTAAGGCCTGATCTCGTCTGCCTGGCTGATATTTCAGACCCGTTGTTGGCAGTGGGACAGGAGCGGGTCACCTCACAGAGACCTTCGCTATAGTCACACACCTTTTAAACATTCAGTTTATGTCATTTGTTTTCAAAAACCACATATGGAATAAAACCTTTAAGTGCTTTTTTCCAGATTACGGAACTCTGTGTTAAATGTAGTAAAAATCTGAATTATATTGTATTTATGGACAGATTTTTTGCAATTTGGTCTTAGAAATGGAGTCAATGCGTCTCTTTGGGAGTCGTTTTGAGGCATCTGAAAACAGTTGGTGTATTCAATATACTGTCCTTGCATTCACTCGCGTTATCAGATCCTTTCTGTCTGAATTCCACCGTGTGGCTGCTCTCCATACCTGGTACAACTTCACAAGAACTCCACAACAGTATGGCTACATTTTCTGAATATTTTATCATGGGACAGTGATGTCTTTCTCACTAAAAGCCAGTATATGATGACATTTATGTCTTTTAAAGGGATAATTCAACCAAAAATGACATTCTGTCATCATTTCCACACGCTCATCATTTCCAAACCCGTATAACTTTGTTTCTTCTGTAGAACACAAAATTTTGAAAGTCAGTGGTGTCTAAAACAACTTTGGAGCCCAATGGGTTTCATTGTATGGACACACACAAAAAAATTTATAATAATATATTGATAATTTGGAATGACATGAGGGTGAGTAAATGATGAAAGAACTGTCGTTTTTGGATGTCTTGTTTCCTGGATTATGTGGGAAGGTGCTCTAAGGTGATTAATGATCAGTCTGAGCTTTTCTCTAACTTTCTTCCATGTTTCCTTTCCACGTTCCAGACTGGCAGAAGACAGAGGCGCAAAAGCGCCGAGAGCAGCTGCTGCTGGATGAGCTGGTCATACTGGTCAACAAACGTGATGCGCTGGTCCGAGACCTAGACGCCCAGGAGAAAGAGTAAGTCCTCCAGCCGCAAGGCATTGTGGGATTGTCGGAGCCAGGATTAGTCCTCCAGGCCCTATAGCGTGGTTCAGAGAGGGTTTTAAAGGCCAAAGTTTGCAGTCACCAGTGTTCTCTTTGCCACCAAGTGTGTTTAGGTGTTTTGTGGGGGGGATGGAGTCGGCAGAGAGGCCTTGTGAATATTTCAAGAGCCAAAATGACTCTGAAGTACAGGTCATAGGTGGTGGAGGTGCAGGTGGCATTCTCCTGTGTCCCTGTCCGTGACCTTTGATCCTGTGTGTCCTGTGTGTGTGTGTGTGTGTGTGTGTGTGTCGGCAGGGCTGAGGAGGAAGACGAGCACCTGGAGAGAACCCTGGAACAGAACAAAGGCAAGATGGCAAAGAAAGAGGAGAAGTGCGTTCTTCAGTGACGGTCAAAAAAGGAGCAAGATGACATACACTACAAAATCTTGAAATGTATTTGTGTCATAGAGACCACAGCATACACCTTATCATTGTTGTTTTAAATCTTCATATGTAGATCTTTTTGTTATCACTAAGGGCTTAAGAACTGCTGAATGCCCCGAGATGCATCCTGTTTTATTAATACCTGAGATTTATTATTTAACATACACAAATACAAAAACTTTATTATTATTATCATTAGGTTTGGTTTGTTGGATTTCACAAACAAGGTACTTAAGGAACTAATATTTGAGGAGATGCAAAGCTGTACAATTTCAAAAACTTTGACTAAATGGTTATATCCATTATAATACAGATTAATCTGAACACTAAGGCATTCACAGCCTTCCGAATGTGTTTCTCTTTCTTACAGGAAATTATTACTCAAAGTTTCGGTACAGCATTTAACCTGGGACATTTTTTTTATTTGTGAATAGGATTGGGTTTCAAAATCATATCACATTTCAGTTTTAAGAAAATCTTATCAACATGTTCTTCTCTCACAAGTGCTGAAATGTTTTAATTACTTAACTTTCTTAGTGTAGAATATTTGAGAAGGGGGACTTGTTGCGTTTAAAATATATTTAGTGTTTTTTTATGTTTAATATGTTTACCAAACATGTTAGAGCTTGCTTTAGTGAGAGGAGTGAAATACTGCGAGTGCATATAAAAAATAAACGGTCATGTTGTACATTTCATTTTACTGTTGGAGGCTTAAAAAAGCTTGAAAAAAAAATTTATTTTCAGAAGCAGTCACGATCAGTGTAATTTATTACCATTTGCTTTTATTAAAGTTTGAGACGTTTTTAAAGTAACCATCTTCACAATCCTGTACATTTGCTCAAGGACTTCAATATTTATTGTATAGTTTAGAAGGGGGGCTTTTCTTGTCTGCATATTTCAGTTTCAGGTCTTTATTGTATGAGCATCACCTGTTTATTTATTCCACTATAAATATCACTGTTCAATAAAATCCAAATGATTTCATACTCGAATTAAACACTTCGTGTGGGTTTGGTTACTAATGGATTTGGCCTTGTGCCCCTACAGCAAATGTTGTGTGCCATTTTTTTTAAGCTGATACTGAATGAACCTAGAATTAAAAATGTTTTAAACACATTTCATTACGTCGTTTATGTTCTGTTCTTTTTTTATTTATATTGTCCTGTCATTATTACATAGATTTGCCTGTCTTTGTTATTTTTGGCCTACTGATTTAATAATCACTTGATTTAATGATGTTTTCTGAAGTTCTGACTGGACTGACGTTTCAGACAATCGTTTCTTTAAATAAAACCTTATGGAGTCGCACTATGACGAAACGCTACAGACTTAATTTTTTTCAATTCATAAAACAATTTACAGGCACTCAAGAGGGACTGCGAAAATTCCCTTGCGTTTTATGGTTATTTCTAAATGAATGTATGCGTTTTGTTTTGTTTGAGGTCGTTCCTCAGAGGGAGATTAAGGCAGAATCACTCTGCCCAAAGCATCTGTTTTCCCTCAGACACTTCATTCTCAGCCAAACAGCCATCACCGCAGCCTCCATTTAACGAGCAAAATAAGTTTTGACAGCTGACGTCCTCCCTTAGTCCTTCTAATACTTTCACATTCATTTACTGACGGTTGGGTCCGAGTGTACCTCCGTTTCCCCCCGGGCGTTTTGTTTGTTATTTTTATTTTGCAGTTATCACAGATGACTGTAATCTTCTGAATAGGAGACACTTATTGGCGCTCACAAACCATTACACAGCGGCGGAGAGGACGTTTGTTTGTTGCCTTTACTAATCGGAGAGTTTGAGCCTGCGAGTCGCTTCAAACGCATGTCATAATTTTATGCATTAGACCTGTGGCGAGGTCCGTGTAATCCCGATGAGACGGTAGCGTGGTGTTCATATCTAAATGACCGCTTTGAACTGTTTTGCAGTCCATTCAGATGCCTAATTTAATACAAGATGTGTTTCTATACATCTGATTTGTCCCAGTAAAACGTGGGATGGAATATTAATATTTAACTTTTGGAATGGGCTACGTTTAAAGAAACTGTTTTTATTGCACTTTTTACGAATATCTGTTCAAAGCGCTTAAACTTCGTGTTTGTTTTGTTTTTTTTGTAAAAAAATAAATGAATAAATATATAAATTCTATTTCATGATGAAAATGTCATGAATTTGTGCTTTCTTATATTATATTAGAACTCATTTAATGTTCTGTTTCATCTACGCAACTATCAGAAAGTTTAGATACCTCTGACATTTTCTCTGCATTTCACACACACACACAAATATAAAGATTGAAACCAAATTAAACACGTCCTCTGGCTCGTTCTAGTTCACAGATGCAGTGGCATTGTCCAAATGCACAATTAATTCCCTTACCTGATTGTTGTCCGTTTTGCCAACTATTGTTTTCAGGCTCAAACCAACAGTGTACGTTTAGTGAAAAAAACGAATCTGAAAAAGCTTTTAAGAATAGGTATTCTTATAGAGGCAAAAAAGAGCTCTCCAAAAGTAGGCTATAGAGCATCTCGGCGCGAGTCCCACAGCGCGTTCTGTGGATCCAGCTGCTTTGAAGTCCACGGCCTGACTTCAGGTGTTGAGCTGTTGGGCTTCACGAAGCCCCTCGACCGCCGAAAATCCTTTCCTCGTCCTAAAATACACCGGGGGAATCGGTACCGAGCCTTCTGTACGAGCTTCAGTATCGTATTTTATGCATCGTCGTTTTAATAAGGACCGACAACATCGCCGACCCTCTCCCATCCTGCCGGCTAAAGAAACCAAACTTTTCCCCCTCCTCTTCTCGCCTCCTCTAATCCCGAGATTTACGAGCTCAGCATTTAGAAAATTCGACTGCAATTTGGGATTAGACAAAATACTCTTATTACAAAAGCTTCTTGCAACCTGATAACTTGATACTTGTTCTGGGTTTATCACGGGGTCTTAGCAACATCAGGGCCGAGAGAATAAATAGCAAACGGACAAAATGCAGGAGTTGTATATTTCTATCGTGTGCGTGTTTGAGGATCACATTTTATTGTTGTTATTATCCGTGGAAATAGTTTAAGGGCAGGTGGAATCTGTCTTTTTGGGGGGCCTGGGGCCAACACTTGTGCTTCGAACAGGCTGTATAAACATTTAATATGCGCATTCCCTGTCACCGTACTTCTAAGCAGTATCCAATAACTTTCCATTTAGTTTTTCCGCGTCTATTGACGGCTTACAGCAGCATCTCTGTTACTCCCAAGAGTAGCCTACTTTTGTCGATGATTTTGTTGATCTATAGAAGAAGGTGTAAAGCCGCCCGGTCTTTGATTGGATGCCTCATATAGCCTAGGCTAGTAAAAATGTAATTTCGTTGCTCCGGCGGTCACTTGCTTTGAACATTAGGTCGCTTTCAGCTCAGGCCTCAATTAGAATGAGTTGATTTTGTGAGATCAACAAAAGGACCGAGCGAAGCCTTATTAAGATCTTCGGAGTCTTTCAGAAACAGTTAAGGAAACACCGCGCCCTCCGTGATATTCTGTTACCGTATTTTATTGGCATTTCTTTGGGAAAGTGAGGCTTGAAAGGTGCTTTCTTTGATTCTCTGAGGCTCAGACTCTCTCTGTGTGCTGATTTCGTTTCTTTTCTGGAAGAGCCGAGTTTTTCTTCACTCCCTTTCACGTTTCCTCTCCGTGTGCCTATTAAACTTTACGCACACTATTCTGAAATGTAATTCTAAGTGGGGATTAGCCACTCATTAATATTCATGAGGCGGGGTAACAATAAAAATGAAAATAGATAAAGTGGATAAATTAAACTTTTAGCTGCAATTTTTACACCACTTCAAATCGATGGACTACATGAATCGATCGCTTAAGGGAGTCTTATATTCTGTATCAAACGGTAGGCCTACTTTGTGAATTTGTTTTTATTTTTATTTATTTTATATTTTTTTACGTGATGCCAGACATTTGAGGAAAGGCCTTGATGTCCTTTACTGCTTAGATTTTGGATGGCTTTAATTATATTACACCGTTTAATCTACGTTGATAAAATTTGCCTTTAGATTAATTATTAATAGCCTACTATTTATATGCGATAATGTGTCCGTTTATTTCTAGAGTTAGGATATACCTCTAAATAAAATAGCTACATTTCAAGACGCAAAACGGTCATAATTGTAATTAAGCGTTTAGAGAATATGCCTATTTTGTTTAGATTTGACAGGACTTCCTAATTAAATGCCTCGGCCTACATCGCAATTCTAAAGTCTTTCAGTAAAATATCATTTAAATGGTTTAAATATTTTTAAAGCCATACTCTATAGCCTACCATAATTTTAAAACGCCCTTTGTATGTAAAGCCCAGATTGTAATATATTTTCCTTCTTCAATTTTAGGAAATGTTAAATCTGTATTGTCTACACTTTTCTTTATAGTTTAGGTCTTCTCGAAATTCTAAAGATTTATTTGTACGGTGTATGTTCTTGATGTCGTTAGTCAGCGCGGGGTGGGGCTTCACGGATGTTCTACCCAAAGACTGGCTGGTACAGTTGTCAATCAAGCAGAGACTGCGCAGCGATTGGCTGGAGTGGGCGGATCTGCAGGTGTCCTACGCTCTTAGAGAGGCAGGGTTAGGAGAAGGTGATCAATCTCCATCCGTCTACATTAGCAATCACCTTAAACTAGTGACAGACACGAACGAGAAAGCCAAAGCAGATGAGTTTAATGTATTTGGTTTTAAACCCCGGGAACACACTCTGAATAGACTACAAGAAGTCCAGCTAAAGGCCAGACACGTGCGCCATATCAACATTGCTGCATATCTGCAGCTTTGAGGAGAGAGTTTAGACGACATTTATTTGGCGAGGTTCCGCGGTCGGTTTGCCTTCCTGAACTCTTGCATTGGTGGATATTTTTTATCGTCTGTTCAGACTGCAAAAAAAATCAAAAATCAGAAGAGAAGGACGGAGCGTTCTGAAAAAAGGTAAGAAAAAAATGCGTATTTTAACTTAGAGTCCCCCCCCCCCCCCTAATTTTATTAACGTTCAACACTTTCACAAAACGGAACTAATACAAGTTTGTTAATTTATTGTTTTAATATTAGCAAAAAAAAATTCTATGTAGATAAATGTGGTCTTCTTGAAAGGATTGTGTAAAAGTGTGTTTTTTATTATGATTTTGTTTCGTCCTATTCTGTACCGACGTCAGTATTGTTTTTAAGTCACCTAGTCAACAGTCTGTTAATTGTCAAAATCGCTTAGAAGTAAATGTTTCAAAATGAATTACATCTAAAAATAGCGACCGTATGTTTGAACCGAAAGCGAGTCGTTTTGCAAAGATCAGCTCATCACCGCAGTGTAAACCAGCTCACTTGGAGAGTAATTGGAGAGGCGTGTTTTGGGTTTTTGTTAATTTATTTTGGTGATAAGGCAAAGAAATGAAGGTGTTTCCCCAGAGATCTAATCTGCATTGTAATTGAGTTAATTTGCACGTAGATGTGTTCTTTCTAACCAGTCTTTACAGAGTAAAGAATAAGCCCGGATAGATTGGAATACACAGAACTCTAAGCGACTCGGTTCTCTCAGCACGGGGCCCTTCCACATTCATTTCCCCTAGGTAACCAGTCAGCGCCTAAATTTGGTTAAAAATTGAATGACCATCAAAACTAATACAAAGCGTTAATAAAGATTCATATATTTTCTTTACCTTTTTTTCTTTTTTATTTGTGTGTGTGTAATAATAATAATATATAGCCTAGTTATAAATTATTCTAGAAGTAGCCTAACTCTCAATATTACCCTATAGGCTGCTATCTGTTCTAAGATGTTAATTATTTAAAATAGTTTTGTTGAACATTGCTGTAAATAAGATTATTTCAATTACATTTTAACACCGAGCTAAATTCAGTGACCCTGGAAACTGTTTATTAGGCCTGCAAGTTTAGTCATTCTTTTGATAAGTACTTTGAAACCGCACAGATTTGGTCTTTGGTTTTTAACATTTTAAATCGGCGCTTTAAAAAAGAATGTAAAATAAATGTAGCTAATGTTCGCAAAATATTTTAAATATGTTTATATATCGGAAATGTCAGAAAGTGGGGAATATTCAAACTTTGAATTGTATCTGAA